GGCTATTTTAAAGGCTTCTGGGGGGCATCCTTTGCCTGTCAACATTTGTTGTTAAGGTGCTCCCAACACGTGGTTTGTTTCAAAGCCATCAAATTGCTTATCAGGCAGAGTTTTATGAGCAAATGGCAGGGATTGCTACCAGTATTGAGAGAAGAGGTGAATTCTGTCAGAGACTGGGAAATCATCCCCCTCCAACCCTCCCTGAATTGTAACAAAGAGCTCCCAAGAACTCCTTCCAACACATCACCGAGTTTCAGTAAGAAGTGACATATCATCCACAGCCATGCTGTACCAAACTAAAAATAGGAAGAAAAACAGCAACACACCTTTTTATTCCATTAAAACACATTGGAGTGGGAGAATTTTTTTTTTAAAGGCCAAGTGAAAAAAATGAGACATTTTGCTTTTTTAAACAAATAGGGACTTGGTAGGTCTGTCATCTGATTGGACTGACAGCAAAGCCACTTTCGTAACGAAAACGTCACCATAAACGTTAGCACAGTGCTCAAGAAGGTGGAAAGTGTTACATAAATGCTCAATACTCTTAGAAATAGAATTACAAAGGATTCTTTTTAGATATTGGTATTAATTAGCTTTTAATATATTTGGAAAATGATTTAACGTACAGCACTGGAAAAAAATTATGGAAACATCAGCTGGAGTGTGGAAATAAGCTTACTGGCAAGAACTTGATTATGCAACATGATGATCCAAATATAAACTGTGAAATGTGATACAGCTCAAGACACATGGTACAATATTCCACAAGATTATATCCAAAAATTGTACAACTGCCTCAATAAGTGAATTAGTATATTATGCTGTACAGCAGGGGTGTCAAAATCATTTGGAGGAGAAGGCTGGATTTCAGGTTTAATCATGGTCTCTGAGACACGATACAAAGATAGAGCTTCATACTCACCTCAATCAACAGCAGAGCTCCCACTGATGTTAGTGGGAGGTTTGCAGAGAGAATAAGGGGAGAACATAGCCTTCATGTAGTAACTCAACATCTGTATTTAGATCCTCATTGTCACATTGAGGGCTTGGCTACACTTGTGAGTTAGTGCGCATTAAAGCAGCCCCGGGCTCCCTAGCTCACTACCTGTCCACACTGGCAAGGCATGTAGAGCGCTCTGACGCCACGGCTAGAGTGCTCCTGGTACTCCACCTCGGCGAGAAGATTAACGCTTGCTGCGTCTTGGCTGAAACCTCAGGGCGTCTGTGTGAACGAGGTGTTGCATTGCTGCGCTCTGATCGGCCTCCGGAAGCGTCCCATAATCCCTTTAAGTCAAGTGGCCACTCCTGTCATTGTTTTTGAATCACCATAGGAATGCGGATATGCCCTTTGAAAGCTCCATTTCTGGCAGCTGGCTGCTTATCTGCTCAGAGACAAAGCAACCATTAGTGTGGAATGCTGTGAGAGAGAGAGGTGGGGGTGGGGGTCTGCTCTGTCTGAACTTACAAGACAACATGCTGACATGCTCTCAGCCCCCCCAAAACCCACTCTCTCTCCCCACAAAACACAAGACACTCCCTGTCACACCCCTGTCACACCCCACCCACCCCATTTGAAAAGCACGTTGCAGTCACTTGCATGCTGGGATAGCTGCCTATAATGCACTGTTCCCAATGCCACTGCAAGTGCCGCAAATGTGGCTACGCCAGTGCGCCTGAAGCTGTCAGTGTGGACAGATTGCAGCGCTTTCCCTACTGCGCTCTCCAAAGGCTGGTTTAACGCAAAGCGCTCTACATCTGCAAGTGTAGCCATGCCCTGAGTATCACTCAATGAGAACATCTGCTCCCCCTTATTGCACTGCTGTTTCAGCCTTTTGTTTCTCCTCCTTCCCCCTTTTCCTCTCTCTTTTGCCCCCCCTTTCTTGTCTTGTGTGTCTCCTCTGTTCCTCCCTCTGTATTTTTATCCCTGCAGCAATTCCCAGTTCCCACTCCTCAATGGTTTCACTCCTATCCCCTTCCCTATTTCATTGCTAAAATGATCATCAGCAGAATAGTTAATGTTGTCATGTTATAATCACTGAACCTTTAGAGTTGACACTCAGATGGATAGGGGGCAGGTAGGAGATATAGAAGTCATTCTTTCAGGTTGTCTGCAGACTCAGGCAGAAGTCACAACATCAGTTTACACTTGGTTTACATTTGGAAGATTGTATCTGCAGCCCTGAGGTATCAAAACTTACTTTTTATTTTTAAATGAAAACTTAGATTCTGCACAAGCTGCATACAACATACAGGGCACATAAATGCATTTATGTATTTGTGTGCCCCATAATCAGATCCAGGTCATGGGCCATATGTTTGACACCCCTGCTGGATAGCCAAGTTACCCCTTTAATTCCCCATACAAAATTATGTTGGCCCTTCTTTTTGTATGTATTCTCAATTCACATTACATATTTATCTGGTATATGAACCTGTTGTGTCCTTGCTCTCCACTCAACGTTAAGAATATGGAGAAACCTCATTGGTACAGTTGGATTCCTAATAACTAAATAATAACTTTATTAACTATATGCAAATATAGAAGACCTAGCTACTTATATCTGTTTTGGCAGAGTTCTGATGTCTTCTGCAACAGAAGAAAGGGAGGCCCGCTAGAAGGCTCCCAGACCATTTAAAGGGATATTACCCAATTCCTACACATGGCAGATAGATTCTGACAAATGTCATTTTGTCTGAAGAGTACAATTTAGTGTGTGAGATGAAGATGCTTTATAGTTTGTTTTCAGTACAACGTGTTTAAAACGTTAGATTAGCAGAGTGCATCTGATTTGAAGAAGTCAGCCATTTGGGATGGTTCTTTGAGATTGTCCAGAAGTATACTTCCTAAAAGTAGAGGTGGCGGAACAGACAAAACAAGGTTCAGATAAAACAATCATTTTAATCTGTCGCTAACTCTTATTTATTATTTAGCTCCAACAGTGTACTTAGAACAGAGAGGAAGATATGGTCCCTGCACCGAGTCTCAAAATAGATAGATAATATAGTCCAGACATCAGATGAAGAGAGGGGGAAAATGAAAATGTCTAATATTCCTTTAAAAAAAATTAATCTAATCTGGGACTATAAATGCTACTGTCCATTAATTGTATTGTGTGGATATTGTATAGTGCCCCTCTAGAGCAGATTAAGGTTTCGGTGCCCTGCTTGTGCATTACCATACTTTAACATATTTTCATTGCCTTTCCATTTAACCTTAACTCTGAATTTCCTGAGTTTTTTATACTTTTTTTTTAATAATAGCAGAATCCCTGTAATGTTTTACCCTTAAATTACTGATACTTACTCAACACGAACTCCTGTGTAACAAAGTTTTTATCTTGGAATTCTGTTGGTTATATGAAAAATATCATATAGAACAAGAAACAACAAACTCATGAGAATGTCATCACAGGATATTTGTAACAATTTAAATATGTGTAATATCAACCTGAATTTTATTATTAATTACTATTATTATTATTAACTTTTAGCTTCAGCTTCTGGCTGATTTGCCATAGTCTCTGGAGTAATGCAGAGTAGTTAGAGCTACACTCAGGTGGCTTCCTGGGCACCTTCCCTGATGGCTGCTTGGATGAATTCTTAATGGGAACAATAGGAGGCACTGGCCATTTTGAAAGAGGGCATTGTAACTGAGAGGACAGTTGCCTCAGTCCCATTGAGCACAATAGATGATAGCAACCTTTTTCAAAGAAGACAGAGAGGGTTTTAATTCTCTGTAGATCATGAGCCATTGGCCTCTGCTATAGAAGACAATTTCACTTATGAAGACTAATAGCAAAAAAATCATCATTAATCCTTAAAAAAAATCTTTCAAGTGTAGCTAATACATAAGATTTCAGCAAGTTATAACTATATGGGAAGTTAGAAGAGTCCATATTCTTAAGATCATTTGGGACAAAAAATGGTGCAATACAAGGTGCTAAATTTCTTAAAGGATCCATTTTTCAATTAATTTTAACTCTTTAAACTCTTTAAATTCTCAGAAATCCACTCTGTGCTCAGAGCGAGTGCTATAGGATGCATTGTTGTCTTCATACCTAACAAAGCTGTTGAATCTCTGCTCTAAAATGCAAACTCTTTAACTATGTAACTGCAACTAGTGCTTCCCTAATACATTTGGCAGTGATCTGGAAAAAACAGTGAACAGTGAGGTGGCAGACTTGCAGATAACGCAAGGTTATTTAGATTAGTCCAGACTAGGGGACCCTGAGGAACTTAAGAAACACCTGGCAAAGCTAACCGGTAACGTAACACAATATCAGCCCAAATTCCTTGTAATAAATTCATCTTGTTGGGTATCACTTTCTGAGGCAAAAGACCTGGACATAATAATGGGCAGAGCAACAGAATTATCTTCACAATCTGCAGCTGTTTCAAAAAAGCAAATAATATTAGGCTGTATGAAGAAAGAGAATAAGATAAGAGCATTATTTTCTGTGCTTTAGAAAACTAAGCACACTTTCTGCTGCATTGGGTACTAAATAGTCTGTAAAAAAAATAAGATTTTACATACTATGGTACTTAATTAGACCTCTCTATTTATTTATTGACAAATATTGTATGCTTGTCTATCTAAATGGCTAGTGTTTTAGTCAGACTTAAAAAAAAATTTGGCAACTTTAACACATCATTTAGGAATTCAGGTTCTGCTGTATTTATTGCCCCTTAAATGTTTTCCTTACAAGCGTCGTTAGTAATGATATAATAGTCATATTTTTAATTTGGATAGCACCCTTCAACCTGAAGGATTCCAGAACGATCCCAGAAGGATCCCATTCAGCACAGCTGAAATGCAGCCAACTTGAGGGTGGAGAACAGCAGCCAATGAATCGGCATATAGCACCCTGCAAACAACAGAAGGATAATTTTGCACAACAATGCTGTTATGAACAGAGCATGAGATCGTCCATGTTCATATAGAGTGGACAGAGTTTCAATTTTCTGGCTCATGCAACTACATGAAACTCAATTTACCTTAAAACGTGATGGACATAGGTGGATCCTTTTGTGGTCCCGGGGAGAATGGGTACTGCAGTCCTGAAGTTTAGAATTCTATTCTGTTCTGTATAGGTTCTTACACTGCCCTGGGGTTCTTACACAACTTTCTTGGGGACGAAATCATAAAAGGAAAATAGAAATTAAATTACAGTGGCAGGTAGAAGTAGACTGGATCCAAACACCTATGAACTTTGGCAAGTCTAGATCTGAACGTGAAGGCTTCCTATATTTAAATTTGCCAAGCCAAAACTCTGTGTAACAACCTCTCTCCCCATGACACAGTAGAAAGAGAACCTAGCACCATGTCCACCACATGATCACCTCACACTTAGCCAGGTCATTGCAACCAGATCCCAATACGCCCACATTCTGGTGAAGTTTGGCTTGAATTGAGTTATATGAGCTAAGTCCATGTCTAGGGACATTTGAAGGCTGCTGGAACAATGATAGGGCATGTAAAACAAAAGCAGATTCAGTTTTTGTTTTAGTTATTACGTAAGAATATTCAACTTTCCAAACTTCGTTTTTTAAATTTTTTTTATTTAATTATTCTTAGAAAGGTATAAGATATTCTAAGTAGGTGGGATATAGAAGCATTCTGACTCTATATATTTGAGTAGGCCATGATTCCACCTCCTGCTCAGAAAACTGAAGTTAGGCTGTAAATTATAGTGATATTTATAGATAATTGCCCTTAGTAATAATGAATTCCTATTAAGCGTATCTGACTGGGCTTTTTGTGCATCTGCTCCTAAAATCATTTTGTTCTCCTTGTTGAGTTTATTAATAAATAGAAGCTTGTTCACTTAGAGGACTGACTGGCTAAGCAGCAGTTCTGCAGAAAAGGACCTAGGGGTTACAGTGGACGAGAAGCTGGATATGAGTCAACAGTGTGACCTATTGCCAAGAAGGCTAACGGCATTTTGGGCTGCATAAGTAGGAGCATTGCCAGCAGATCAAGGGACGTGATCATTCCCCTCTATTCGGCATTGATGAGGCCTCATCTGGAGTACTGTGTCCAGTTTTGGTCCCCACACTACAAGAAGGATGTGGAAAAACTGGAAAGAGTCCAGTGGAGGGCAACAAAAATTATTAGGAGACTGAAGCACATGACTCATGAGGAGAGGCTGAGGGAACTGGGCTTGTTTAGTCTGCAGAAGTGAAGAGTGAGGGGGGATTTGACAGCAGCCTTCAACTACCTGAAGGGGGGTTCCAAAAGGGATGGAGCTCGGCTGTTCTCAGTAGTGGAAGATGACAGAACAAGGAGCAATGGTCTCAAGTTGCAGTGGGGGAGGTTTAGGTTGGATATTAGGAAAAAACTATTTCACTAGGAGGGTGGTGAAGCACTGGAATGGGTTACCCTAGGGGGTTGGTGGAATCTCCATCCTTGGAGGTTTTTAAGGCCCGGCTTGACAAAGCCCTGGCTGGAATGATTTAGTTGGTGTTGGTCCTGCTTTGAGCAGGGGGTTGGGCTAGATGACCTCCTGAGGTCCCTTCCAACCCCAATCTTCTATGATTCTAGAGGGAATTTGAGACAATTTTTTTTTCATTTAGAGGAAACTTGAAACCTTTCACTAAAATTGTTTTACTTACCTACTTATTGATAGGGAGTCTGCAGGTTGGGGAGGAAAGTTCACTGAAGTTCTACTCTTGTATGTTGTAGCTAGTTCCAAGTACTTTTTTGACTTGAATGTCACAGAAGTGTGCGAGAGGAGGTTACTCCCAGTAGATTTGTAGCTCTGTAAGTATAAAAAAGAAATTGAGTATTAGCTCTTCTTTACACCAAACTGTATTTTATTTTATTGGAATGTAGGACTAGAAGGGACTGTGTCAGAGAATCGTTACTTCAAAGTATTTCTTGCTCAGTGAGAAATTATTCTTCTGTAGTGTTTTTCTTCTATTGAGCTTTGAGTGGTTGAACATATATAGCATATGCATTTATTAATATATTTCAAATAGACAGTGGACATGGTTGATAAGAAAGTGGATTTACCCAGGTGGAGTGGTAGGCAGATATATATGTACAAAAGAGACTTTGGAATTCCATGGGACTACTTGCTAATAAGAAGGCAGCACATTAAGTCAGTGGGCAAGATTCTGATTTCTTGGCCAGTACTGTTGAGCTGTGCAGTAGCTTTCCTATGCAGCCTCATGGTCATATCACCCGTTTCCATCCCACTCTCCATTCCTTCCTATTGTTTCACACTCATTTACTGAATGATTCTTCAAATTAGATTGTAATCTCTTCAGGGCAGGGACCATCTGTTATTGTGTGTGCCAAACCCAGCACAACAGGGGTGCTGGGCACCACCACAGCACAAATAATAATAATTTTAAAAGTAACAATCATTTGTACGGGTGTAAATCTGGAGTAACTGCACTGACTTCACTGGTGTAACTGAGATCGCGTTGGACTATTGTATAGCTAATTCAAAGTCCTGTGGAGTTCTTCTGTTCACTTCAGTGTGCTCTGAATCAGGCCCTATGTGCAGTATCTGTAGAACCAGAAGCTAGTGGAAACTTATGTCACACCCCAGCAGTGAGTGAGTTATCTGGTGTGGCCCTCTAGATCAGTTCTCCTTTCAGCACATCCACAGCATCCAGCACAGAATGGTAAAAGTTGTACCCACAGGGCTGAATAGGGCCTATAGCAGGGGTGGGCAAACTTTTTGGTCCAAGGCCCACATCTAGGAATAGAAATTGTATGGCGGGCCATGAATGCTCACAAAATTGGGGTTGGGTGAGGGCTCTGGTGTGGACTCTGAGGTGGGGCCAGAAATGAGTTCAAGGTGTAGGAGGGAGCTCCGGGCTGGGGCGAGGAGGTGGGGTGAAAGGGGAAGGCTCCAGCTGGGGGTGCAGGCTCTGGAGTGGGGCTGGGGATGAGGAGTTTGGGGTGTAGGAGGGTGCTCTGGGTGGGGACCAAGGGGTTTGGAGGGTAGAGGGGGATCAGGGCTGGGGCAGGGGGTTGGGGTGCAGGAAGGGGTGCAGGCTCCAGCTGGGGGTGCAGTCTCTGGGGTGGGGCTGAGGATGAGGGGTTTGGGGTGCAGGAGGATGCTGCAAGCTAAGATCGAGAGGTTTGGAGGGGGATCAGGGTTGGGGCACGGGGTTGGGGCATGGGGAGAGGCTCAGGGGTGCAGGCTCCAGGCAGCACTTACCTCAAGCAGCTCCCGGAAGCAGCGGCATGGCCTCGCTCCAGCTCCTATGCATAGGGGAAGCCAGGGGGCTCCGCTCTTCACGCTGCCCCCTCCCCAAGTGGCTCCCGGCCAATTGGAGCTGGGGGAGTGGCACTTGGGGAGGGGGCAGTGTGCAGAGCAGACCCGCTGGCTGTCCCTACGCGTAGGAGCTGGAGCAGAGCCATGTCGCTACTTCCGGGAGCCGTGTGGAGCGGCCACTGACCCAGCTCCCCAGCAGGAGCTCAAGGGCTGGATTAAACTGGTTGGTGGGCCGTAGTTGCCCACCCCTGGCCTATAGAGTGTGTATAGTTTTCTAAGTCAGTAGAAGTCTAGAGTTCTATTAACTCTATTAGGATTGCAGTTTCCTTTAACTTGTATCATTTAAAATCCTGACTCCTTGAACTGAGGAAGATACCTATTGGTGTGGATCCTTTCTGTCAGTAGGTATGGTAGGTAGTTATATTTAAAGGGTTTGAAGTTATTTTTATGAGCCATGGTGAAGTCTGTAAACCTTTATTTTTATCTTGAGAGCTGCTTAGCAATTCTTCCAGGAGATTTATGCTTTTCTAGTTGAAACACTTACAAATTGAGAGGAATACAATGTTAGCAAAAGCAGAGACAGCTCATTTCTGGTTTCATTTGAGAATCCAGTTCATAATTTCCCTATGATCTTGGCTGAGACCAAAGGGAAGTTTTAACTTTGTTTAGTAAAAGAAGAGAAGCATCGTTCCCTTTAACCAATAAAGTCAGTCACTCATCCAGTACTCCCATAAAGTTTCTGTCTGATCGTATCCTTATCTGAGGGCTCTCATGTAGCACCCAACTAAAAAAACTGTACTCCTAACCTTGTTTGGGGCAGTGCTACCTCGTGGAAAAGTTACTCAAAGATCACTCACGTATACCCTCAGTGCTTGCATTGCCTAAATAAAGATTTACTGCCAATTACTGCTTTCTTTTTCATTTTACTTGAAAAGAGCGCAGCTTGTTTCTTCTGAGAAAAAGTAACTGAAGCAAGTCACTTAGACAAGAAACGCTGTGATGAGTAATGCTTAGGAGGAGGGGGAAAAAACTTGCTTACAAGGAACTGCTTTTATTACCGTGCAATCTTAATCCACATACATGCAGATGAGTCTGTCAGAGAGCATTCCTCCCACACCCCCTTTTTAGAGGAAGTTTGTTGATGTATTACCGACATCTCATCTTCAAAGCCAAAAAAAAAAAAAAAAAAAAACGACAGCCATTCACAGGAAGGACGTACGTTGATTTGTTCTCCTCCTGGAGCGCGGAGCAGAAGTACCCAGACCGCATGATGAAGGAGCATTGTACCACCTACAGTAGTGCTGCGTCCAGCTGTGTCGGTGACTCCACCATGGAAAGTCTGCAGCCACTCAAGCCTAACTACATGTCTGTGTGTTTATTTGCAGAAGAATCTTATCAAAAATTAGCAATGGAAACTCTGGAAGAATTAGACTGGTGTTTAGATCAACTTGAAACCATTCAGACCTACCGATCAGTCAGTGAGATGGCATCTAACAAGGTAAGCGATGGGATAACTTCTTCCTAAAATGTCAAAGGCTGAAAATAACAAGAATAAGTGCTGTAATGTAAGATGAAAAAGTGTTGCTGTATGTGATTGTGTCCACCAGCAGACAAGCATGCACAGTGCAATATCTGACAAAGTTCATTTAAACACTGTTGGTACTTTTTCCTAATACTTTATGTTAAGGATGTGAACTTTAAATGCTTTGAACTATCTGTATCCTTATGCTATTGCAAGAATTAAACTGCAAATGGTAAACGATAGCATAAATTCTCAAGCAGAATATATTTACACTGTGAAATTAATCCTTGATTTGGTGATATGTTCCAGTGGACCTTACGTACATTTTTATACAGGTAGAAGTAGAAAGCATGGTAAATACAAATGTTATTTACAAAGTAATTTATAAGTTGGAGAAAATTTGTCATAGAAAAGCAGAACCAGGAAAACATTTTGCATTCGGTAGATTCAGAATTATAATATGTTACAATGTAGTAAAACCACATCATTACAATGATATTTATCTATCAGAAAATTTACAAGGTGTCAATTACAGCTGTTCTCCGTGGAAAAAATACGACCAAAGGCACCCACTGAAAAGTGTGTAACTTGTAACAAATGATCAGGTTGGGGAAATTAACTTGGCTTTTCAATAATAATGGCAAACTCTAAACATTATGGGATACTGTTTTACTGCAACTGTCTCTTTCTCGAAGCATTTGGTTTGTGTTTTTAATATTATGGTATGAGTTGACAGCATTTTATATTCAGTACATGATTAGGGTGCAGTACCATAACACTGGGACATATGTAAGAGTGTTTTCATTAAAGGGCTGCTTTGGGGCGGGGGGTGGGGGGAGAGAGAGATGCAGGAGAATTTGAGTTTTCATACAAGGAGTAAAAATATGCTAAAATCATTTGAAAAGAAAAATCCCAAACTAAACTTTATGCAGAATGTAGGCGGGGGGAAGGTTCAGAAGAAAAATACAGAAAAGATATAAAGGGGAAAAATACAGCAGAATCCCTGAATACCCCTCAAAATAATCCTTTAAAACCACCACTCCCTCCAACCCTGAGCTTCTGCTTCCAGCCTCCAACCTTTCCAGATAGAGAGAACTACTCTGTGAGCAAATGTGATTCTATTAAGAACCCATCAAAGTCAGTCCTTAATTGGCTAGAGTGGTTATTGTTGATTGACACAAGGCACTCCCTGGGGCTACAGGCACCACCTCTGCAATGCTCCTAGCCATTGCCCAAATGAGCACTTGACTGGCATCTGAGCAGATCTCCTGCTGAGGGCAGTGCAAAATGCTTTTGCACCCAGCAGCACAGTCTAAGTGCACAAGATCTCAAAGTCACAAGTATTGCTGCTCCAGATTCAATATTTATGCTCATGCTTTTTTGCAATATTTAAACCCATCAACCTGATGAAGCAAATCCATATGGTTTCTGAAATGTGTGTGCTCTATCTCTTACAAAGATATTAGACATCGTGTGTTACCTTCATACCTTTGCATTAGCCCTCATGATTAGACCCAGTTTTACGTTTGTGCCACACAAATCCAGGGTTATTCTTCTTTTCCTAACTGGAAATAAATTACGCCAGAAATGCTGAATCAGAAATTGAGGTTCTATGGAATATGTTAAAGAAATTAATCACAGGTCATTTCAAACTTCCTTCTGCTCCACTAGTTCTTACTACAGCATGCCAGGGCATAGAAAGTAATAGAAGTTTTAACAGGGTTAGCTTGCAAGAAAAGAATATAATTTTTATCAGTTTGCTTGAGAAACAGATCTAACCATTAGCAAGGCTTTAGCCTGCTAAGAAAATAGGGCCTCGCACATGGGGCAGAACTATCCCGATTTTGACATTTTTTTCCCACATTTGGACTCTTACAGGTGAAAAGCTCTGATTAAGTAATTCAGCCATTGTGTAATTGTTAAAAATTATGATTTTACTATGTGCAATGTTAGTGTTCATTGGTTAGATTCAACTTTCTTTAAACTTGGCTCATTCATATACTTGAACTAAAATGTGTTTGTACGTGTTCTGGTCAGATTCCAAGAGTCATTTCCAGCTATGAAAGAATAACATGAAATGGTTTGAAGCTTATTCTTTTTTTCCTTGCCATGGTAACAAACATCTAAACGAGTTGGTGATAAATGTCTCTTGATCTTGTGCGATCATGGCAAACAGTTTTTCATGGCACACAGTAAAATTATTTCAAGTGTGCTGTGCAGTCTAAAAACAGTTCAACTGGAAGTAAACCTGAAAGACTGTTTAGAAACAATCAGAAAATTTTACAACAAATTAATGAACATTTTTAATCTCTTAAAGTATCTGAGTAGACTGTCTTGCTTGAATCAAAAGCTTTTAAGTAGGGTACTGGTAAGCAACAAAACAGTGAGGTGTTTTGAAAACAGGATGCTTAGGCTCCACATTATTAAAGAAGAACGGAAAGAGAAACAGTATAGAGAGGAAGAAAGCAAATAGACTCAACACGATCCCAAGTGCAAGAACAGTATAAACAGTGACCTATCTTCCTGACCTCTGCTATTGCTGAGTTCCTGGCCCTGTGCCACTAAAGCCAAACTACGTCATTTGAGAATGATAGTAGGCATGGCACAGCTGTTGCAAGTGTGACTCGAATTTCCTGTCTCCTTCCTGACAGACGTAGTTTTAAAAGTACAGAGTTGCAACAACAGCAGACAGAGAGGGAGGATCTCTGAATACATGTTTGCAGTGTGGTTTTCAGAGCTCTTGTACAAAAAGCATTTTCTGGGGAGGAAAGCACAGCATCCTGGTCATAAAGAGTTGGCACATGGGTCTGCCAACAATGTAAATTAATTACTCAAGGAAACTGAGGGCCCGATCCTGCTAGGTGCTAACCACCCTCAGCTTTTATTGAGGCTGTAAAGCACAGGCTTGAGCCCAGCATAGAACCATTACAGGCAAGCTCTGTCTTCTGACAGGTTTCAGAGTAACAGCCGTGTTAGTCTGTATTCGCAAAAAGAAAAGGAGTACTTGTGGCACCTTAGAGACTAACCAATTTATTTGAGCATGAGCTTTCGTGAGCTACAGCTCACTTCATCAGATGCATCTGATGAAGTGAGCTGTAGCTCACGAAAGCTCATGCTCAAATAAATTGGTTAGTCTCTAAGGTGCCACAAGTACTCCTTTTCTGTCTTCTGAGTACACTCTCACTAGGTAAAGACTTTACAGCACGTCTTTACCGTCGTACTTAATCCTGACCTCCAAATACTCCAGACCCCTTGCTATTCCACACCAAAGCCTCCGGGAAGCAGACTACCTATCATGCCAAACATAGTGGCGGTTTTGGGAAATGGGAAATCTGATTTTTTTTTTTTAGAAATTATTAACATTCCAAAATTAGAAAGAGAGCAACACTGAAGAAAATGACCACACATCTATTCCACATTGCCTTAGTCATTGCCCCTGAGCACTGGCCTCATTCCCTATGGATTCCCTAAACTAAGCATCTAGGAATGTACGGAATACTGCAAAGATGGAGTTAATTATTTATGTAAAATACTAACAAGACAGTTTTATCGTTTCAGCTTTCAGTGAAATAAAGCTAAATTACCCT